TTTGTTTTTAAAGGACTTTCACAGATTATTAGATAAGTCATCTGTCAAGAACAGCAAACAAGCACGCTATACTTTTCTGAGTGTGACTGCGGCATGCTTGGCTTAGAATGTGTTCAAGCAAGCATGTGTGACCGCGACCTAAATGCACAGCACTTGCTTCAATATGATCCCAAATATTATCAACATTTGCTACAGTTGAGGCCTTCTTGTAAGGACCAGTGCAAACCTAGAATGACACTCGCATATTACTGACTATGTTGGAAAATGCTACATTAAATGTAGTAGTAAAAATATAACTTTATTTATTTATTAAACTTCACCAAGTTTGAAACGTTGTTTCTCAAAGGAAGCTTACCATTTCAATGTCTCTGAAGAGTCGCAACATCTCTATTTTAGTAAAGCCCAGTTGTGCAGCCTAGAAGTTATCTATCTGTTTGGCATTTCATCGATAACTATATCCTTTACTTGTTTTGAAAGGGTATTATTTAGTCTACCCATGGCGTGACCAGTATCTGAAATTTCTTTCTCTCCTTTACTAAGCTCATTTTGCAGTTGAGCGACATTTTTTCCAGGGCTGTCTGTTTTTTAGCCTTTTGTTCAGAATGTCTAGACAGAATTCGACACGAAAATACAGATTTACAAGTACTAAATGAACATACTTTTTTAGTATGCCGTAGTTTCAAGTGACACTTGCCACACATGTTAGATTTTCCAATATTTTGATCCGAAGCATGTTTGAATTTGTTCGTCAAGTTCAAGTGTCAAATTTGCAATGGTTTTTTTCTGCTTTTGCAGAAATCTGTCAAGAGTTAAGTTCTGCCAATAAGTTTGGGTTTGTCTTTGCTAATTAGGTTGTCATCTAAGTCGTCGTCAGAGGTGCTGATTAAATTGCGTTCATTTGTATTCTTTTTAAAGTGTATATGCAAGGAAATGAAAAAATTAAAATTTCGAAATTTGGAAAGACATGGCCTCCCTTGACTAGGTAAAAATATTTTTAGTAAAAGTGCTCTAAAAGTATTGAAAATGACCTAAAATGTATGATAAATACAGCTATTTTGAATCGTTACCTGATGAAAAGACTGGTACCGAAAATTCCGGCCTTGTGACGTATGCAGTGTGGCATACCATAAGAAACCATAAGAAACCATTCAGGCAAGATTTACGAAAACTGTAGCTGTTAGTTCATGGTAAGTAAGTTGAACAAAGCAGTCTAATATCTCAGTGTTTCTTGCATTATTTATTAGACTACTCTGACATGTGAATTGATTTTAGGTGCACATGTGGGCATTGTAGTGATGCTTTGTTAGACGACGCGAGGGAGTACCGATATTGTAAAGAGATACTGGAATTGTATGGGCAAATTCACGCACGATGGAAAAGACGCTGAATGTATAACACAGCACTGGGACCAGAGGCGTAGCCAGGATTTTTGGTCGGGGGGCCAGCAAAAACCCAGGTGGGGCCAAAAAAATTTTCCGGACTACAACATTTTAAATCTCTCCGACCCCTCTCCCCCCCCGTCGACACCTTTTTTGGTTAAAAAAAACTTTCTGGACATCAAAATTGCTTTCATAGCACTTTTCCCGATTTCCGTATCACCTTTTCCGATGCTTCACCACAAAGATTCCGACAACATTGACAATTTTCCGATGGGTCTCAACTTGAAGCTATATAATCAAGGATTCCCTTTTTTATTGTTGTGTAGCGAGCGATCCTGAAGCGAGCGAGCGAAGCAGCATTCTAATATGTGCAGAGAGGGGGTTTTAAGTAAATTTTATTTAGTGCATTGGGTTGTGGTCGTGTGCGCTTGCTATGGCAGAACACAAAATAACGTACAACATACAATATTTCAGGAGTATTTGAAGGATATCGTCTATTAGTATTTTTGCACAAGTGAACATAACAAATCCTACAAGGTGATTGGTCAAATTTGACGTATTAATCTGTTATATTCACCTACAGGTGAATATTAACTAATCGAAATTTTCAAAATGGCGGCTAGCCGTTTTGTTGAAGTTAGTGATAAAGAAATAAGCAAAATCAAAATGAATTCAGACAAGAAAAACACAAAAAAACTTGTGCAAAAATGCTAAAACAATTATTCGCCTCAGGCTCGGTGATTATTGGGGAATATTCACCTCGACTTCGTCTTGGCGAATATTCCCCAATAATCACCTCACCTCGTTAATTGTTTTGCTTGCTTCGACTTGTAAATTATTTTGTCTCAGGCACCCAGTCAGCGTAAGATTTAGTAAAGTTTTAAGCCCTGTAAATGCCATAATTTAGTGTATAAAATAACGTGACTGCACTTTGTGCGTTGTTCACTCAATGGACATTGACCACTGTAGGTTCTATATTTTAATTTATTATAAGGTTTTGGTTTCTTAGTTTAATACTGTGTATACAATGTGGTATAAAATGCGCCTAGCAGTATTAGATTTAATAATATGAAATCAGATAGCAAAAACTTGTGTTATATAATTTACCTGTACGTCTTACGAATGCTTTGTCGTTTGTATTTCACTGCTAAGAGCAGCGCGTATTAAATTCAACAAATTCCATTTGATCTTGAAAATATTATATATTCTTGCTTATGATTTAGTGAATATTAATTACTTTCATAAACACGCCTATCTGTAATCTGTGATTGCTCTTGAACCCGTGCATGGTCTTGGCAACAAACGCATTGCTTTTTCTAAGACACTTGTGGCATGAATCGATTCCGTACTCCTTAAGCTCCGACCACAGTGCTCACAAGTGGCCAGCTTGCTGCGAGTAATAACTGCATGCTTTATGTAGTTCGTACTATTTTTAGTTCTATTTGCTTTTGATGCCCGCAGCAATCCCTATCTTGCAGGTACCCTTACTAGTACAATATATTTTATCAGGGGGGGCCCAAAATTTTGCCAGGGGGGCTCAGCCCCCGGCCAAAGCCCTGGCTACGCTTCTGACTGGGACTATCCTATTATTACGCATCGAACAGTACTAGAGACTGCAGGGGCTTTTCTGTCTGATAAGACAGGGAAAAATATCGCAAACCAACAAGCAGAACTCAAGACGGGCAAAATGAGTAAGTCAAACTAATTTCACTTAATTTTTGTCAGTTTTCATCAGTATTTTCTATATATTCGCAATAATTGCAAAGGGTTGTGTTTTGTAAGATTTTGAAACATGTATTTTAATCTACGCCTTTGAATATTTTGAAATATATAAACAAAGTGTGTATAAACAGTACCATCTTTAATTATGGGAGGGTCGGGCATACGTGGGGCATTTGATTGTTTATGCAATCTGTTGGTCAAATTCCCTACCATGGGGAAGCAAATATCAGTCAAGTGTTATCAAATGCCTCACTGTTGGGCACACATTTGTGGTGAAAGGCTTGAAAGTCATTTGTCCCAGTCCTGAACACATGCTCTTCCTCAGGATGCAAGATGGTGCCCAATTCAAATATCCCCACCCTCACAAGTTGTTGTCCATCAAATTCCTGACGGTGGGGAAACAAAAATCTGTGAAATGCCCCCACATATGCCCAACCTCTCCTTGGAGCTTAACATTGATAGGTGCATTAATCTTTAGATATCTTTATATATCATGCAGTGGATAGTGAGATGGATATTCGGCATGCTTGGATGGGAAAACTCTAGACCGCTTCCAGCATGCCTGTATAATGAAATCATGAAAAGGTATCCATCTCAAGGCACCACTGGATATAAATCATCACAGCAGAGAACACGATAAAAGGTGTATACTATATGTATATAAATATTATATATTATATTACATATATTTTAACTAAAATAAATTATGAACTTTTTAATATCCCTTGTTTAATCTTATTCAGCTGATCGGCTGTGTTTGATTAACAATTGTCCTTTTGGTGTCCTTTCATTGGCTCACCACACTTTTTGCAGCATGGTGTCTTACGCTTCTTTTTCTGTTTGATGGCAATGGTTTCTTTTTCTTTTGTTATCAGGTTGTCTAGAGTTTCAACTAAACAAAGCATAAGATACTTTGTTATAAGCATAAGATACTTTGTTATTCATGTAATAAGAACAATAATTAACAATTATTCGCCGAAGGTGAAGTGATTACTGGTGAATATTACCAGCGAATAAATTTTTAATGAATAAAACAAAATATCTGAATATCAGTTCAATTAAATTTCAGAAATAAAAATGTTTTCGGCCTGTTCACTAATATTGTTGCAGTGTTTCTTGTACGCACACGCTTTCAAAATGGCTTCTTGTGTGACTTTATTGCTTTATTACAAAGTTGTTTTTCTTGATTTCTGCTTGGAATATATACACAATAACGGAATGACTCTTTCACCAGACTTAGAATTAAAAATAGTTTCTGTTTAGCATTAATTTCTTCAGGAAATGACTGAGGAATTTGGTAAAATGAAATGTAAAACTATATCGTTCGAAATAAAGTTTTAATAACACTTTTTACTTTACAAGTTTCGAAAACACAATACAGCGGTCAGAACACTATAAAGCACAATGAAATTTGACATATCAAAAGAAATAGTATCGTACAAATTGGGAAATCTATAGTATACAAAATAAAATGGATTTTAAAGAATATCACGGCAAGGTTTTTCCCGGTGAAAAGTCTGGATGGTTTTTGCTATTTGTTTGAAGTGAATGTTTTGGAGTTTTAAATAAGTTTTAAACGGTCCGTGAATATGTTTGACACAGTAAAATAATAAAGGAATCCTATCTTTCAAGTTAAATATAACATTTTGTGTTTCTTTCGTTTTCTGGGAATGATTTTTTCAATATTTTGTCGATTTTGCAACCAATTTTGCCGAAACAATCTTTTTGAAAAGCATTATTTACTAGTCTGCTAGTAAATAATGCCTCAGATTTACTAGTCAGCTAGCCAATCAGATTGTGCGAAAGCTTTTTTTGATATGCAAAATTTATACTAACATCAATTATTCACTAGCTCCCTTTCCTTTGGCAAAACTAGGATGGGCATATTATCAGCAGACCTTACAGATTTATAGCATGATTTACCTGATGGAAATAACTTGTTTTTTTTTTCCCTTTCCTCTGTGCCTGGTTTCTAATAGCTTTCTCGTTCTTAGTTCTGCCAGCAGAGAATTGGCTTGTCAGTGAATTGGGTTCTTTGGCCTTGTAATTGTCATATGTTTTATTGAGATCTGCCTTATTGCAATTATAGAGAAGTTCTTGGCGCATTTCATCTACATAACCTAGAGAAAGTGTTATAAATAAAACTAATTAAAACATATTACATATACATGTACCAGCATTTATACAAGGATTCATAACACTTTACATACCATATGTTGCTGGGACAGCAATCTCTCTGACCATTTCCTCCCCTAATTTAAACTTTGGGTAGGTTACCCGTATATATGGAGTCCCTGTCTTAGAGGTCTTTGTCTCTCTATGGACATTCTCATTAAAGTGCAGGCATGCTAGGATGTGTCTAAAGGTAAACAATGACCAATCAATTATGTTGAACATACTAATGAGATGTAAGCTTCTTTATTGGCTTGCAGTACTGACCTGCAGTATGTCCCTAACCAAGAAAAGCAAATTATTCCCGATAGATTTTGCCCACTCTGCTAGTATCTCGCAGCCTTTCTCCTTGCTTGCTTTCAAAACCTTCTTCACAGTCGACTTAGCTTGTTGCCATATGTCGTAGTAGTGAGTAGTGTCTCTTTGCATGGTTCTCACCCACTTACCTATACCACGGTCACGATCGGACACAAATGTCTTAATTGGAAGCTTCTCCTTGCCTTTTATCTCGTCAAACAAGTGTTTGGCACCTTCCAATTCCATTTGCTGCTTCCAACCTCGTTTGCCTATAAAACAGAATTTCGCTATTCAGTGTTTCATTTAATAAGGAAATTTCCTGATGTAGAATAATAATATAATGAGGTGGGTGTGGGTTTCACAAAACACAGTCATAATCAATACAAAACAAAACATAATTAAAAAATAAGCATAACTGAACTTACGATGTGACAAAAAATAACGATTAGTTTTAAGGAATTTAAGTTATCCCAAATCATCTTGAAATTATGTGTTTTGTAAATCAACATGCTTATCTTTGGATTATGTTTTATTTTTGTTTATTATATAAAGTATAGTGCTTTATAAAAGTGATAATCTCACATGTGAGATTATTCATGATAATCTCACATGTGAAAATTATTGCTTTTCAATTGTCGCTTTTCTGTAAAAATTATCACTTTTGAAAGACTGTCCTTTATATAATAAACAGAAAAATACATGGGTGCTTGGAAATACCAGATTTATTTCGAGTGTTGAACATGATATCTCACTCGTTTGCTAAATCTGGTATTATATGTTTGTGATGTTACTCTGAGTGTATATCCACACCGGCAAGCTTGAAAAATATGCCCGACCACGGTGGGAATCGAACCTACGACCTTTGGAATACTAGCCCAATGCTCTGCCAACTGAGCTACGTGGTCAGGTCGGTTCGAGTGAGTGATATTTCGGAACAGAATCTAGTTCCTTCTACCTGACCGCGTAGCTCAGTTGGCAGAGCATTGGGCTAGTATTCCAAAGGTCGTAGGTTCGATTCCCACCGTGGTCGGGCATATTTTTCAAGCTTGCCCGGTGTGGATATACACTCAGAGTAACATCACAAACATATCATATTCACCTGAGTACACAACACCAGCACAGAAAAATCTGGTATTTCCGCGCACCCATGTATTCTCTATATACGATACGGCATCAAAAGGATGATTCAAACTACCTGAAGTAGCTCAAAATGTACAAGTTTAGTCAAGTTACAATTCAACATTGTATAGCATCCATATTTTGCACTGTGGCCCATGCTATCAAGTCTTCCGTCTCCAGCCCAAACACTGTCCTTTATTCCCTTTGATTAATTAACGCAGCTCGAGATTTTTCCCAGTATTGAATTATTAAGGAGGGAACATTTCTTTGATGATAAAAAAGGTCCTTGCACAGTATATTTTGAGGCCCAGGTGCCCAAAGTGTAGCAGAACTTTGCTAATCGAGGATCCAGACATAAGAATAGCAAAACTCAGCAAAATATTGCCAGCAGGATACTTTCCCAAAACCAATGGCTGACTTGTCCACGTATAAGAGCCTTTGCATGATTTACATGTTTGTTCCACTATTGCCATTGTTCCACGAACTTTCACATTAACGCTTGGTGATCCTGCCTTGCAGTCAAAGCAGAACAATGAAAACAGTCAAAACAGAACAATGAAAACAGTGAAACCAACATACTGAAGAACACTATGAATTTTGGCTCTGTGTCAGCCAATCTAAAAGAGAAAAGACAATACGAGTAGTAGATTTTTTAAACTACTTGTTTTTTAGTAATTCAGTATTTTTCCAGATTTCTGGAGTCTTTCATCAGTAAGTATAGCTTAATACAGTGTGGGAGTACAGAAATAAAAACGTACCTCGCATCCTGTGATGTGTTCTCTCGTACTTCTTCATCGAGCTCGTCATCATCTGATGAGTCATTTTCTTCATCTTCCATGTTGGCATCCCAGTCCGGATCTTTCATTTTATCAGTCAAATCGTCTTCCGAACTGTTTCCCAGTGATCCATCTTCATCATTCCAAGCCTCCTCCAAGATGCCTGTATCTTCACCCGTTTTGTTCTCGTTCTCACTGCTATTCTCGTCGCCAGATGAACTGGAAGACACCTCTTGTCGCAGGGATTCAATTATCTAGAAGAACAAGAAATACGATAAATATATGAGAAATATGATATTTTGTGAATTTAACTTATATAGTTGTTCCTAAAATATGTTCCTACATGAAATATAACTGCGACATGCCCGCTTCCACACAATCCTGCATCTCTAACCTACCTTTTTGAGGTTTATATTCTCCTTTTTGAACCCCGTTATTCGCCTATTTCTATCTAAAAGTCGCTGTTTTTGATTTGATCGGATTTTTTGTAAACATTTAATTCTCTCCTTTTCCTGGCCACATGTGGCACAAGAAAGGGATTCCTGAGCATCCTGTGACATGAAACTCTCATCCCCTTGATTGACATGCAAAACCGGTGAACTTTTGCAAGTTGTTTCATCTACTTTGCTTACTGCAACGGCTTCGTCGGAACTTGATAATTCATCCATATCCTGGTTCATGCTACTTGATACTGGTGATGTATTATCTATGTAGAACAAAAGAAGCGATATTGTTGCAACATGTGTGTGCAGCTCTCAAAGGATTAAGATGAATTACTAGCTAGCAAAACAAGAAAACAGAAACTATATATGAATAGCCAAACTATTGCAGTTATAATTTTGTGTCCAGTACGTGCAAATTAGAATATACGACTCACCCTTCTCTTTGCACGCGAAGTGTGTGGCATTTCGTCCAGAATGACCGTATTCTTGGTTGGAACAGACCCTTGTATTAGGTATATTGCCCTTGGTTTTAGCTTGTCTGGTACCCCAATGTGATACCTTGTTGCAAAACAAGATTTCTCGAAATGTGCCGAACATATTATAGATGAACTGCTTGGAGAAAAATTCGGTCAATGTCTTTGTACAAATTTTATCCATATTTTTCGTTGCTCTTCGTTCGCAGGAAACTTGTACATTGATATCCCTTCAATGTGGTATGTATTTGTGCAACTGCACAATCCAGGACCTCCACAAACGCAATATTTACCCCTTTTCACTCTCTTCGTGCTGGAAGACATGCTTGTCGCATTGAAAATACAATGGTACTCTCAAAAAACAGGATTTTTTATATGCTTGTTGGATTGAAAATTACTCTCAAAACGCAGGGTTTTTTATACAAGTGTAGCGTGCGTGCATTGAATAGGTGTAGTTTCCTATAGGGTGTGTATGCACATCGTCTTAATATGTGAAAACATAGCTTCTTGACTGATAAGGCGAGAAAGGAATTTTGTTTGACACAGTATAACCACAACCAGTGAATAAGGAATAAATTGTGTGCAAACAGGACATAGATAGAGCATGTTTCAGCAAATGAAAATGGATGAAAATGTGACACAACTGAAGGCCAAAGCATAAACAAGCAAGCTGGAGCTTTCTGTGATTAAAATATGATGTGCGAACTGAGGTACTTATTCTGTAGTTTATAGGTTTATAGTATATTGCGTTCCGGTATACTCTGAGGTCAACTTCGTTTACTTTAATTAATTTAATTTCGCCTATTCTATCATTGTACGAACTGTATAAATTCTAACTATATCCAACTATCTACAATGGACTATATATATATATATATATATATATGGAAATATCTACAATATGCCACAACTAGCGACATCTGAACAGCGTCAATTTAATCTAATCTGTAAGCAAAACCTATACTGCTACTAGAGCATTGATTTTGCATTTCGGCGGCTTATAAGCAATAAATCGTTGTATGGTAATATCATTGCATTGATTAACCAATGTATCGCATCTACATAATGCAGATTTATTTGGATTTTGTTTAAATTATCAAAAAATCCCAATTCAACGCAATTGAAACTACATTGTTCATAGTATTTACATATAGGAAGAGCACATTGTGTCACACTGCATACGTCATCATGACCTCTTGGCCGTGTGAGAGGAGCTCATCAGCTAAAATTTTCATAGCCCAACTTTAAACGCAAAATTCACAAACTTCTAGTTCGAAGTTTTCAACAAGATTGGTATTAAAATGATCAGAAAAGATGAAATTTTCAGATAATGCAAAATCACAAAATCGAAATTTTCATTGCATATACACTTTAAGAATCAAGGATTTTCTCACTCAGCCTTGAGTAATAACAATGCTTTTCATAGGCACTTCAGGAAGATCAACCTCGCAATTCTCCAGGGGAACAGACAACAACCAGCAGCTATTACACATTTGCCGAAACTGTTTTTGGTTTACATTTAAACCACCCAATATTTCTGCAAGTTGGAAATATTTACTATCTCCACTTAGTTTGAGTTTAACTATTACCTAATAGGCAGTCATGTAACTTCTTACAAACTTATGCATCAGTCATTCAGAACCCCCTGCAGCCCCCCCCCCCCCACCCTAGGCATAAAGGGAGTAAACTAGTGAATAGGAGGTGATTGCCCCGGGTATGCCCAAGGTTGGGGTGTAGAAGAATTTAAATGACTAACTGTGTAGAGAATGTGCCTCTCAGTTCAATGCTGTTCGCAGTCATCCAATAAACCAAGTTTTTGCCAACCTCAATCTTAATACAATACCTGCATTATGGAGGCTACCTTGTCAGTTGTTCCATATTATTAATAATTATGTAATGTTTACTTGATTGAGTTAAAGAGTATAATTCCCCAGGTTCCTTCTTACAAACCTTCTTACATCGATAAACCAACAAATCCAAATCCTCTGTGATCCCAAAACTTGCATGGCCATTTAAAAGCATGTGAGCAATTTGTGCATCAGTTTCATAAGGTGATACAACATAATTTACATTGTGTGCCAAACAAACCTTTCAAAGAAAATAAATAGGCAACATGTCAATTGTTTTAAATACACTGCAATATCACTGCCATTCTTTATTTCGCCCACAAATTAATATCATTGTTTTATATGGACAAGTTTGTCTACTAATCTAATTACATACATTTATGCAAACGACAATATTTTTGAAGGTCATAGATGCAGCTCGGCTGTGTAACTTATTTGCTTCAGATTTTGATATCTGTTTTAAAATCTTTTCAGGTACACTGCAAATAAAAGATAAAACTTAATTAAGAAATAAAACTACATGCGCCATAACACCCGAACGAGTAAGGATTGCTCTTGCCGTTCTGAACAACCCCTCCGCATATACGATGTATCGTCTGACAGGGACCTTGTTGTAGTTGCAATTGAAGCCGAATTAACGAGGGTCGAATTGCTGCCTTTCGAGAATATGGTCAACAGCATCTAGAACATTCATCACACAGCTGGTAGCATTTTTATTATTCGTATTATTTAATATTATCATACCATATATTTCTTTCACAAAAATCTTTCTGTACAGTCAACTAAATGGCAAGACCCTACTCATCTTTGACACTAAATCCAGGAATAATAATTTCTTTGCCTCAGACTGGGCCACCTTTATATATGTATACCTTCATCCAGAATGGATAAACTAGGAATTTTAATAAAGCAAAAATCATATATGAATTTTCAACTAATCATGACAACATTTCCCTTAGGGGGGGGGGGTCTACCTGAACAGCCCGATTCTGTAGTGGTGTTAGTTGAATTGCAATAACAGAAAAGATATTGATCTAAAGCATGACAAACCATATATTGTTATAAAGGTAAAGGATCAAGGAATCCGGATTTGTTATTGGTTTAGCCTCAGGTCGCACTGAAACCTGACACCGGTCCATTAATTAGGCCACATGCTGAGAGTGAGTACTGGTTGTTTAAGAAAAGATATCTTCCCTGGAATTTATTCAAATTTGGTATTGTTTTCTGTTTCTTGCACAGAAATCACTAAACTCCGGGATGAGCAGAGGATATTATAAAATTATAAAAATAACTAATATTTTTTGTGACTGTAGCCAAGATGGAGAAATCTAGCCATTTTTACATCATACAATTTGTACTATTACTACAACAAAAAATTCACCTGCTTATCCCAGAGAGCATTATCAGATGAGGTAATCCTGAAAATTTGGACAAACTGTTCTTAAGATATCCTTTCTTAAAGCGTAAAAACCTTTACTGAAAGAAAACCAATTAAAGATGCATAGTTAATTCACTACCAATAAAATATTATTAATATTATTAAAATATTATTACTAATTATTAAAATATTATTAGAAACTATTTACCAATGTAGTCCATTTAAAATCCTCCTGCTTCATATAACTTACTCCCTAAACTTCCATAATGCTTCCTCTCTTTGAGTATGTAATAACTTTTCTGTGTGCTGTCATTTCTTATCTTTCTCTGTAGCGGCTTTGTCTGATTTTCGGACCCGTTTCCTGTCTTTTGTAGCAGATACTGCCTTCTTATAATCACCAGCTGGAATTAAAAGCCTGTCCATCACCCTGTGTTGACTTGCTGTACCACCATGAAAATGACACACAGCAGTTTTTTTAATCAATATTTAATTTCAGGAAGCTTTCTCACAACGTGAATTTCAGAAAGGTCCTGAACTAAATAAACTATTTTACAAGGAAGACATGAATATACTACATAAGTATGAAAAATATTTAAAAATTATACTAGGGAAAGTTAAAAGATTGCTAAAAAAGTTTGTCTTAAATGTAGAAATACGAGTAGATAGTTTTATCTTTCTTTTCAAGTTGTTTCAGTCTGTTAGGGCCTGATAAGCGAGTCTTTGCTTTCCCCAATTCCTTGACACTTTAGGTGGCCTTAAATTGTCCTTATATCGCATATTTTAGGTGGGTATTTCTCTGTTCGCTAGAAGTTCAAATCCATGTGAGGTATGATTATTTAGACATTTAAAAACAAACAAACATCTATGATACAATCTGCATTGTTCAAGAGTGGTCCAGCCTAAAGTGTTTAACACGTCTGTTGCAGATGAAAAAAAGGTCTATCTTAAACAATTTTTGGCGGCTTTGTTCTGGAGTATCTGAAGATTGTTCATTAACACTATATTATTTTTGTCTCCCCATATAACCCCGCATAGTCAAAGATTGGGAGTGCAAGACTGTTATAAAGAAGATTTGTGCATTAAATGGTAGCAGGTGTTTAATCCTACGAAGTAGACCCAGGAGTCGATTGACTTTGGCGGACATGCGATCTATATGTTCTGACCAAGTGAAGTTGGCTGTGATGGTGACTCCTAAGTACTTGAAATTGCTGGTGTTGGAGACTTCAGTATTGACTTCAGATGCCCCAGCACAACGAACACCTTTGTAGCCATGTGCTTGGGACAACGGATCCACACCAATGTGTTAATGGTTTCATTCTGGTTTTTGTTATGCCATGTACACATCTTGTAAGTAAGCTGCTTTCACTGAGATCCAAAAAAACAGGACGCATAACTCCCAAGAAAACCGCCGGAATGCAATTTGTTGTTTGTTTTTTAGAAGTGGTTGCAGGTATTCAGATCCTGGAATGCTGTGAAATGGCCCTGCTGGACCTGTTGGAACATTCTATTGGGTGAACATCAAATGATGTGTGGAGTGAAATGAAATTTCGATTCAATGTGACTGATAGAATTGGAATGGTATAGATAATGATGATTTTAGTGAATTATGTACTATTTAAAACACGAGTAGGAGTGTTTTATCAGATATAT